GTGGCATCACTCATCTGCGCCAGTCGCCACGTCTCAGTCAATACTATGACATTTATATCAAAATTGATAGAATCAATGAAACATTCCAATTCGTCTAAATGAGCTGTTACACTTCTAATATTCATACATAGAATGCGAAAACATCTGAAATCTTTTGAGAATTCGCTAACCTTATCAACAAAACAATTTAAAGTATCACAATTAACATTTTGTATATCAGATTCAGTAATAACCTCCACAATGACTATTAAGTTTATTTAATTATTTACGCTTACGGACTAGGTCAATCAAGATTGGTTCCGACTAATCTTCCTTTCGATGTCAGCCTCACTTGCAATTGTAATCGCCGGATTATCTTCACTCTTCCTCACCATAATCCTGCTGTTCCTGCACCATACGAACTTGAAGCCATTTTCCCGAGCTGCCTTTTTTGTAAGCATTAGTAATTTGCTGTTAGTAGCGGTTAGATGTTCATTAATAAATATGGAATCACCAATCTTCAATCCTGGTAGGAAAGACTTCGTTACAACTAACTTTTTCTTTGATGCAAGCGTATCCCGAACAGTTCTTCGAACGAATTGAGCAATGATAAGCGGTGGGGCGTTCTTGCTTCCTTTTAGGCGATGGGCGACGTCAATTTCAGTTGGATCCAATTTAATGCCCAATTCCTCCGCGACTCTCGTGACAATATTCTTGCAGTCTTCACCTTGCACTTCAGGAATGCCATTAATAAGTAAGTTTTTGTTTCTGACATACTGCTCCAGCTGACTAAGTTGAGTAGTCAGCACAGTTATTTCCTTATCTTTTTCAGAAAGCTGCCCACTAAGTCGGTCGCAGTTTTCTTTCATAATAGCCATATCGGACTTAATGTTTTTTAACTCGACCAGAAAGCTGTCATAATTATCCGACACATGCTCGGTAAAATTTCTCATCTCAGCCATGTCTTTCTTAAGTTCAGTAATAGTATCGTTTATAGGAGCCAGCAACTTTTTAATCTCTGACAGTAGTTCATTTTTTATCGAAGAAAATGAAGTCATGGCACCGCTATCTTCGACTCCCTCAGGTTCGCTTTTTTTATTTTGACGGCGACAAACGCAACTTCCGCACCTCCACGGTTGCTTAGAATTTAGTTTTTTACGATACACAACTTCGTTTATTGAACATTCGAAATGAAACTTTTGTTTACATTCCTGGCATTCTGCGAGTTCCGATAAAATTCTCTTGTCGCACGACGCGCATGTGTTCGACATTTCCGAAAAAAAACTGGTTTTTACGGTTTATTGGTCGGCCACGGCAAGAGTCTCAACAATAATTTAACAAAATTATCTTGCTAGAAGAACCACACTAACTCAGTTTATAACCCTCGGACTCGTTACCCCTTACTCTTTCTATAGGTACCCGTTTTGGATATAAATAACCAAATAATGACAAGAAAACGGAGTTTACAGAGGAGCACAATAGAAGGCGTGTGCTTCATAAATGGACGTGTATAATATAATAAATGTTATACATACTCGTTAAGAATTTTATGGACACAAATCGAGTCAGAAAGATATATGATTCGCATTAAATTAAAAAAATTGTTTGTCATTGAAGAGTGTAAAATATTCTGGGGAGGCAAAAATGAATAAGTTCCCAAAATAAAATTAAATATATTTTAATTGTCAAGGGAATTTTATTAATTTTAAAATTTAATTATTATTTTAATATTTCGATTTCCTTTTTACTTGACCTTTCCTGCCTTTTCTCGATTTCTTGCTTTTACTTTTATTTTCATCCGCTTTTTTCTCTGCCCCATCATCATCTTTCTTTTCTTCGTCTTTTACTTCACTCGTCTAAAATAATAATGAATAAAAAAATTTTGAATAAATATTTTAAATAATTAATTTAACTAACTCTTTTCCCTTTTCTCGGACTCCTTTTAAATCTATCGTGTAAAGCCGCGTTGAAAATCCCTTCAATAACATCCTTCGTCATATTATTTTCATTATCAGCATCTTAATAAAAACATTAATTAATAATAAATCACATCAAATTTGATTTTTTTACCTAACCAAACATCGATTTTCGATAACACTTTTAAATCGTCGTTCACCTCAACGTTATCTTCGAGTAATTTTTGACTCGAATCGATGTAAGATTGGATGTAATCCAAAATGTTTTTCGTGGTTCTCAATTTTTCTTTCAAATTTTTTTTGTAAGCGTATAAACGCTCTAAAAATTCAATGTTGTGTTCTTTAGGGTGCGTTTTCTCGGAGACTATGCTCATCGAAGTCTAAAATTAAATCAAATAATAATAAATAAAAATAAATAATTAAGTTTTTACCGCAAAGTGAACAAATATAAATGAAATTAATACGAATTTAATCATTTTTAATTTTAAAAAATTAAAACTTATAACTCGTTGAGACTCGAATAAGAATTGGGCGAGATTTATTTTTTTTTTCAATACTCAATTATAATTTTATAACCTTTTATTATTATTTTAGAACAATAAGTAATTAAAAATTTATTTAATTAAGCTTACTTATTCTTCATTCTAATTAGTCTCTTAAATTTTTCATTTCTCACCATCATTCTCTTCATCATTTCTCGTTTATGCATATCAATTTTCGTTATTTCCTCTCTTTGTTCGCTATCATTTAAATAATACCGCATCGATATACAACTTGAAAAATGTTCAAAGTTTTGGAGGTAATAACGCCGAGGTCGCTTGCAGCCGAGACGCTACATCAATCTAGACACTGAACCGCGTTGGGCGATGTTACTCTAATTAATTAAGAAAAGGTCACTTGAGGCCGAGGCGCTAAATCGATACCATATCGGTATAAAACTTGAAAAATTTTCAAAGTATTGGAGGTAATAACGCCGAGGTCGCTTGCGGCCGAGGCGCTACATTAATCTAGAAACTGAACCGCGTTGGGCGATGTTACTCTAATTAATTAAGCAAAGGTCACTTGAAACCAAGGCCCTAAATCGATACCATATCGATATAAAACTGGGAAAATGTTCAAAGTATTGGAGGTAATAATGCCAAGGTCGCTTGCAGCCGAGGTGCTACATCAATCTAGAAACTGAACCGCGTTGGGCAATGTTACTCGTCGAAAAGAGCTTATGTGGACTACAAATCCTATCTTATTTGTAGTGAATGGCATTCCGAGACCTATCTTCTATGTCTTGTCTGGTTGTAGGTTGAGTTTGAAACACCATGTCATTTAACCGCCCCATTAATACAAATCCAAGCAAATTAAGTCTGAGGATCTGGCTGGCCATTATTATTATTATTATTGCTGCCGGGCTGAGGAGAGCGGTTTCCCTCGTCACCGCGACTTATGTTAGCCCTTCAAACGTTTAAGGCAAATGTAGGTCCTTAATGAACCTTAGTATTGCCCCAAGGTCTTTATGTCGATAGGTGTCAAAAGAGCTTTACCAAAAATTTTGTGTCTTAAACGGTCTCTGGCGACGCAATTACTCAATATATGTTCAGCCGTTTCTGACTCGTTGCAAAGTCAACAAGTTTGATCCTCAGCTTGTCCAATGTGGAAGAGATGGTATTTTAGGGGCGCATGACCGGTGAGGTAACTTGAGCGCGTCCTTAGATCCCCTTTGCTGAGGCATAAAACCTCTTTGGTTTTGTTTTGCGACGGAGTTATCATACTCTTCGCTTGTCTGTGATCTGGAAGTTCTTTCCAGCGTAAGGCTACCTTTGAGGCCTCTGAACTGGTGATTATTTGTTTTAGGTGGCTTTTTTTAGTCCACAACCGGGTTGGGGTCCAATGAAGGGTGTTTTCGCTGCTTCTCCGGCCAGCTTGTCCGCCTTCTCATTGCCTTCAATGTTACTGTGACCTGGAACCCACCATAAAGTAACATCACTGCCTCTCGCGAGTTCTCTCAACTTGCTGGGATTGCCTTTAGAGCGACCCGGCTGTCTTTGAAAATGTTTATGGATGCACCTTTCTGTCCCTTTTGTAGGTTCAAAACGGTGCAGAAGTTTAAAGCAAGAACTTCTCTTCTTTTTGTTGAGGCCCTTCGTCCAATCATCCCTGCTTCTAACTATGACCTTATACGGTTGGTAGAAATTGCATTCTATCGGTATAAGGTACGTTTTAATTACAATTAAATGATTTATACATTGATCTTTGAGGATTTCGAGGTGTCCTCTGAGGTTACCCTGCATCAACTTAAGTGAAGAGCATGTTTTCAGTGCAGGCACTTAACGATGCCTCCTTTTATATATATAAATGAAGTGGTGTGAGACCGAATAGGGCTTCAAGAGCAGCCGTTGGACAAGATCTCATTGCACCCATTATATTAAGACATGCTAACCGTTGGATTTGTGCCAGCTGTTGTTGTGCTGTCTTATGATTAGTTATTGGCCACCAAATCAGTAAGGCATAGGCGTCCATGGGTCTGATTATTGCTACGTAGGCCCAATGAGCCATTTGTGGTTTGAGACCTCAATTCCAGTTTAATTTACTGTCTAGTATTACACCTAGGTATTTAACTTCTGTTTTTAGGTTAATAGTTCTGCTTTCAATGGAGGGTGCTCTCAATTGTAGCTGCCTTCTCCGAGTGGAAGGAACTATTTCGATTTTGTTTTAATTGATGCTGAGTCGATTGCTTTTGTACCAAGTGCTGGTGAGTAGTAGGGCTTTCTGTATTACTTGAGTTATCATTGTGTCATACTTACCTCGGATTGTGATTACCAGGTCATCAGCATACCCCTAAATCATGAATCCATTTTTTGTTCACGTGTTCATCAAGTCATCAAATACCAAGCACCATAGGAGAAGAGAAAGCACTCCCCATTCGACTCGCCTACCTGGCTGGCTGTGATCTGCCGACTTTTCAACATGGCTATACACCATTTGATTCTCGATGGATGTATATCCTTTACGTTTAGAGCATTCTTTATGGATTCGTAGGAGGTGTTATCAAAAGCACCCTCTATGTCTATGAAAGCACATAGGGCTATCTCTTTGATTTGCAATTGTCTTCTCTAAAGCGCTAGTCACAGCATGGATTGGTTGATTTAGCCTTCTGGTAAGCTTGTTGAGTCGGATCAATTACCTTTTCCATCCCTTTGAGGAGAAAAGAAGTTAGGCTAATTGATCTAGTCTCGCTGCTCGCTGAAATAATGTACGGATCACGGACCTCTTCTATTGGGGATGATGATGTGAACATGCCTGTAAATACCTGTTGGTATGGGTCTTCTTTCGGTATACACCAAGTTCTATATCTCCATTTGTCGTCCTGGTGACCAACACATCTAGGAAAGGTAGTTTTTTGGCAGTTTCTGTTTCCATGGTGAAGTTAATCATAGGATGTTGAGAGTTCAAGTGATCCTAGAACTATTGGAGCCGTTTTTGACCATGTTGCCATATCACAAACGTGTCATCGACATATCGGAGCCATAGTTTTGGTTTCCACTGGCTCTTCTTCAAAGCGTCCTCTTCGAATAATTCCATGTAGAAATTAGCTATAACTGGCGATAGTGGAGATCCCATGGCTGCCCCTTCGAACTGCTCGTAAAATTCTCCTTTCCAGCTGAAATACGTCGACGATAAGCCATACTCCACCAGATCTGGCACGTATTCTGTTTCTTTTTCGGTGAAGACCCTCTACAGCATCCTTAACTGGTACCCTAGTAAAAAGGGATTCCACATCGAAACTTACCAACATATCCCCAGCATCCAGCTTTACACCTTTTACCAATTCCACAAAATGTGTAGAATCCCTGAGATACGATACCGTGTTACCTGTAAAGGGAGACAGAATCTTTGCAAGTTGTTTGGCCAGCTGGTATGTTGAGGAGTTGATGGCGCTGACGATAGGGCGGAGGGGGACGTTTGGTTTGTGACTCTTCGGTAGTCCGTAGATTCTTGGTGGTACCGGCGCCTGCACAAACAATCTTTCTGCTGGAATTCCTGTGGATTTTATCAGTTCCTTCATTTTTCTTACGATTTTGTCTGTGGCGTCCTTCTTTATCTTCCTATAGGTGGCTGGGTCCAGTAGGTTCATCATTTTGTCGTCGTATTCTTTCCTGTCCATAACAACGGTGGCATTCCCCTTGTCTGCTGGTAACACGACGATTTCTGACTTTTCTCTTATAGATCGGAGTGCCTTCTTTTCACCAACTGTCAAGTTGGATTTTGGTGGTTTTGCTGACTTCTGTACTCTCGCAACTTCTTGTCGGATCTCTTCGGCTTCCAGTGCAGGCATCCCTCGGACAGCTGCTTCCACTTCGCAG